CAATTTGATTCATAATACACAATTCTAGGTGCAAAATGTAGATGTTTCTGTAGTCATCGGTTCTCAAAGAATATTAAATATAGATTCATATAGCTTCGTTAGTTGTGTTTAATAAATATGGTAAATAAAAACTGCAAATGTTTTTACACAAATTATTTTTATTTTAAATCAACATTCAAAATAAACTAAGACAAATTAACCAAACAATCAAATTCAATCGTTANGGCATGCAACGAGACAATGGGCCGACTATCCGGCCGCCGGATATCCGGCTATCCGGCCTAGCAGCCGGCCGGATATCCGGTATCCGGTATCCGGCCAAACAACTATCCGTTTCATCTCTAATAGAGACCCTCTTTGTGCCTGAAACCTGACTTTTTAAGGCGCGTGCAAAGGCGTGTGCATTTGTGCGTGTATTTAAGGATTTTTTTTCTTTAATCAGATATCTGACCGTAATCTTACCAATAAATCTTTAAAAAGACAATGTAGGATGCGACGGAAACAGTACCTATAGCATGAACAACTTTCGTCTTCGAATCGTTTGTTTGCGTATTCGACAAATAAAACTCAACCTTTGAATTCAACGATAACGTGACAATTTTGATTCTCAAAATAAGTTTCGTGCAATCATTTCTCATGTAAGTTCACTTTGCGATACATTCACAAGGTCGCTGTTGTAGTTTTCGTACTAAATCTTTTGATGGCGATTCGAATACGCAAACGATTCGAACTCTGAAATTTTTCGCGTTTTAAGTTTTTGGGCGTTAACACCGAAATTAATAAATACAAGCAAAACAAACATACACTTCGCCGCATAAATGGAAGTCATTATAACACTTTGTTTATTTGATTAAACAAATTAGCATGCATTGGTAATTATCATTTTAATATGATTAAGTAAGACTGCAATGTTTTAGAAATAAAATCTCATCTATTAGGCATTTGACAAAACATAATCTATCTGGGTTTTGTTGGGAGTAACTGAATTTTATTTTATACTTAAGTATGTTTACTTAATACTTAAATGTAGCTCAAAAAGTAATTTCTTTTGTTTTCTGTCGTTTCGCCAAGACAGGCACTCCAAACTTATTCGTCTCCCATTTTAACCACAGGGCAACGAGACATAGAAGGTTCTTTCCATTTACTGTATGTTTTATTGATTCCTAGATAGATAGTAAGATATTATAGAGTTAAGGAAATAGCCGCATCAATAACGATTTATAGGTACGATCTAATTTATTACCATAGTATTGGTTTTATGTGATTGTGATCATCTACTTCCTTATTAGGTATTATCATAAAAATTACTTAATTAAAATGTAAGGTGTTCTTAGTTTGTTATCCTGTAAACTAGTCTCCTAATTAAAAGGGAAAATGAGGCTACTGAATCCATTCTAATATCTTTTCTCTGAAGTTTGGCTGAAATCTTTGCATTCTGAGTTTTTGCGTATCCACTTATTACCTTGTTGCGAGAATAAAATATGCAATTTTACGCTTATTTTCTTTTAGCAAGTAAGTAAAGTGGTTAACCTTGCGTGAAGAATGTTCCTTCCCGCCGCAAGTAAAAGGGGAATACGAGAGAGTGAGGTAATAAGTAGGTAATTTTTAACAGAAGATGAAGGTAACTAACTGTATTTTTTAGTTTTTAGTAAGTAAGTAGGTACTAGTGTGCGTGCCTTACAGAGTTTCAATACACAATTCTGTATCAAGCAACCGCGGTAAAGAACGAATAGCAGCTGTAGCGCTTCTATGTGATTACAAGCCCGCAACGCAAGAGGTTGCCCGTGTAAAAGCAATCCCATCAAAAACAATACTTGTCAAAAAAAACAAGTCTCGCAACTCAGTTGTTCTACGGTAAAAAGTTGTGAGATCCATGTAATACCAAGTCCAGGCCAGGAAATCTTTAACGTTTTACATAAATTATTGACTTGGTCATCGCACTAAATAATTTAATTTACACGTGTTTTCATGCGATGGCCAAGTCAATATATTTATGTAAAACGTTAAAGATTTCCTGGCCTGGACTTGGTATTACATGGATCTNCCCGCCATTCTGACGTTCACTTAAAATTGTGTTTGACTTCTTAAGGGGTCCGTGGAACAAATAGAACATACAACGCTGATCTAGGGCGTTAATAATACAAGCCAAAGATATCTCGCGTAATTCCAAAATCATACCAGCCGAGCAGACAATGGGGAGCTAATCAGTCGGCCTCCAACGCAAACAGCCCGGATGGACCCCGCTGCATTGTCCGTGTCCGTGTTTACACACGGAATGGCATTGGATTGTGATGGGAATTGATCGTCTTGTCCATTCAAAATTGGCAGGTAGTTTCGGGATATTGCGGTGAGGTTATATGGATTTGAGACTGCTTAAAAGTTGGAACAATTTAGTTAGTGCTAGATTATTAAGACAAGTAGGCATTATAATGCCGTTTTACCTAAAAATGCTCTACCTACCTAGTAACGATCGCTTTTACGAGGATGGGTGGATGAGATTTCCAGACTGCATCAGGCTCAGAGGTGGAATTGTGTAAAGCAACCGTTATCATTTGACAGTTCATAACGTACGATTATTCTGTCAAACACTTTTGTTTAACTGACTTTATCGTACGTTATAAACTGTCAAAATGATAACGATTGCTTTACACAATTCCACCTCAGGTAATCGTCATAAGTAACTAGACCGAAGCTAACTACTACTGTTTATTTAAAAATAACATCTAAAAATATTTGTTGATTTACCCTTTCATAATTTTCCCGCTCAATTAACTAGAGTGCACGTCGACGTCGAGTTCCCGCCAAAGTCGGGTCGGCCATTGCTTTCAAAAGCGGGCAAAGGCGTTGCAGTGTTCGGCCCACGGGCCACGCGCCTGTTCAATCTCTATAATTACTCCCAGGCGATTAACATTATGGATGGCCTCGGATACTGTGAAATATTTAGATTTTGTACACGCCATTAGGGGATTAAATTTAACGTCTCCATTAAACCTTTTGTACATAATGTAATGTAATAAGTATTACACCTACTACCACACGCTTACTAAAGTTTAGTAAATGTACCTATGCTGAATTCAATAAAAACAAAAGTTTAAGTACCACCACGTACCACGTTGGGCGCCAATTATTAGTATTATTATTATAGGCCTCTGTTATTCTAATTGTACAGTCGACAGCACGTCAACGTGGACACTGTGGTATCTTACGTAGTTGCGATAGGGGTGACTTTGCAACGAAAATGTGTAGTCTGATGTGCTGTCGACTGTACCTACAGGGTGACAGGTAAAGCGATACATTCCTTGATAGGGGTTAAAGTAGAGCTGTTTAACAAACACTACATGATTATTTTTTTATTTGAATTTAAACGTCTAGTAGATACTTTCATAAAAAAAATAATAAATAAAAAAGTAACACTAAAAACTATTCTTGGGTGTCAATAAATGAAAAACTTAGTATTTTAATAATAATTGTATCACCTAATTTAATCTAAGTACATTATTTTAAGTCCTGCTCAAACTGTGAGCCCCGTCTTCTAATACAAGCTCGTAGTCTGTTTCTCACTTCTGTTTTTGTGACTCTTGTTGACAAACTGCTGAATATCTTGAGCTTCCCTCTGAATGTGCTCACGAAGCTCGTTGTTTACGGGGGCTACATACTTACAAGAGATAACTACTTCATGTTACCCCATAAATAAAAATCTCAAGGGGTCAAATCCGGACTTCTGGCTGGCCAAGGAATGGGTCCACCGCGCCCAATCCAACGAAGTGGATATTGTTGATCCATCCATTGGCGTACAGTCACTGAGCCGAAAGTGTGCTGTGTGTGTGAAAGCTTCGTGAGCGCATTCAGAGGGCAGCTTCAGCAAAGTTTGACAACAAGAGTCACATAAACAGAAGTGAGAAACAGACTACGAGCCGTGCTACGAGCATGTATTAGAAGACGGGGCTCACAGTTTGAGCAGGACTTAAAATAATGTACCTAGATTAAATTAGGTGATACAATTATTATTAAAATACATACTAAGTTTTTTATTTATTGACACCCAAGAATAGTTTTTAGTGTGACTTTTTTATTTATTAATTTTTTTATGAAAGTATCTACTAGACGTTTAAATTCAAATAAAAAAATAATGATGTAGTGTTTGTTAAACACCTGTACCTTTTTGAATAGCTAATGAATCAAGGAACTAAATTCTGTAATTTGTACACAACATTCCATACATTTTTTCTTGGAAATTCTAGTAGATAGTGTACTAACATGTTACAATATTATATTACTTTTATTACGATTTTGGTGTACTCTAAGGACATGATGAACAGCCTATGACAATAAATATAATAAAAATCAGAGAAGCCTTGCGACGTGCGCCTTCTATAACTATATTGGCAACGCAAGGGCAAGTAACAAATTGCTATAAAAAAATAATAAGGTGTAGGAAGCGAGGTTGATGTTTCGACTTCAAAAAGATCTAATAAAAACAGTAGACGCGTTATATTTATTTTAATAAAACTTCAACAAAATTACTACGCTATAGTTCCAAAATACTGAACTGTCCTATGCATGACATTGACAGTGGGGCGCCCGGGCGCCACCGTCTATATACCGGATCGCTGGTTCCGATTTTTGCCATGTTGGAAACCATATACTTAGTTGAACGATGGTAGCGGCCTCCTGTCATTGAGTTTGGTGGGACAGTTCAGCGTGGGTCATCTATACGCTAGGTACTTCCGGCACCGTTTCTGTAGGTCTGAAGCGTGCAAGTTACATCACTGACATTCATGGACCTATAAAAAAGCGGACGGACGGAAGTAGTCATAGATGACCCACGTTGAACTGTCCCACCAAACTCAATGACAGGGGGGCGCTATTATCCTTCAACTATATGGTTTCCAACGTGACAAAAATCGGAACCAGCGATATACATATTCAATTTTAATAGTTGGGATTAATTCACTGGAAGTCAAGCCGTGATAGTTTTGACACTTTTGACAGCTAAACCCTATCGATCGATTTCATTTGTGAGCAGTAGGTGGCGTTGCGATCGCGCACAATCTTGCTTACTTGAAACGAATCGATAAACAAAAACTGCTTTTCGTGGGCGTTGCCACACTTTGTTTGAGACTGATAATTCTGTGAATTAAATAGATAAGCCCTCACGCGTTTCGTGACATTGTACTCGTTAAAAAATAGGGCTTCAGTGATAATTCACCTCGCATCGTACCTGTAACTCGTAGTGTCTGCTTCCATTGTTGTTCCCATACCGATTTTCTTATTGAATTCCTTTATAAAAGTGTTTTACATCACAATTACAGTGCATGTATAAATTATTTGATAGTTAAAGTGTGTTGTAATTCATAATATCCTTCAATAACTCTGCGATACTTGTGAAGTTTAAGTATGGTGATTCCTCGGTGATTCATGCAAGATAATTTTCTCAAACGGACCGTAACGTCGTCTGTGATGTGAAAATGTTCAAAAACATTGTTCTGACTTTGTGCCTAATTGTTTATGTGCAGTGCCAATCAAATAAGGATCTGTATAATGGTCAATATGGCGAATACAATAAGGAATATGACCCAAATCGCGCTCAACGCCGGCCGAATCCCGGGGACACAGATTACAGAACTTACGTGTTCAATAATAGACGATACGGGACTGATCCGACACGGTACAATCCATACAACCCGAATATAAATCAGCCGGGTGGGTTCCCATACAACCCTCTGCCTTACAACCCACTGAATCCCAATCCCCTGGATGATCAATACAAGTTTAATACTGTAAGTATAATGATGTCAATGCTTCTAATTTACATTAATCTAACCAAGATCATTGATTTAACCAAGTGTAAAGATGTCACATTAATTCTATAATATTTTATAACAGAAAATGCCATAAAAAAGTAGTAAATTCACATTTTTATCTCAACTAACAGAACCGTGACCCGAACAACCCTGATGCATTGTTCCCTGGTGTGCTCGGAGGATGGAGAGAAGACCTGCAAGGTCGGGAGAGGCGAGACTCGCGGCAGCTCAAGAGAGATATATTCGTCACTACCAACTTCGGACAAGTGCAAGGATTTAAAGTAAGTATTTTTAAACTTTACATAATTTACATTTAATTGTTGCTTTGTCTTCTTTCTTTGTCATAGCAAGCTATATTGGGACTTGTTTAAGTTCTCTGAAAAAGGCCTTCATACTACTAAAGAATTTTTAATTGGAATTTTACTTTTATTACAATTTGTATTATAATAGGTATGAGCTGTACATTTTCCTAATAAAGAAAATAAAACAAAAAAAAAATCTGCATGTCCACTCACAAACTCAAAAGCTTTAAATGTTATTATTCAATAACTTGTTACAAATCAACATGAATTTCCCTGGACTCCAACTCAATATTCAGTACAGTAGAATCTCGATTATCCGGACTTCGATTATCCGGACTCATTCTTTACAGTTTCTAATTACCGATTTAGGGTCTGGACCCATACAAACTGAAGGCGCCGTCACCGTAACACGGTATGGACTTAGTCTTAGTTCATTGTTAAAAGAAATGGATTCATCCAATAGTCTAAAATTTAGATTTTTAGACTCTAAAATACTCTAAATTATGTATTGAAAACTCTTTCTATCGTAAAAAGTTAATTATTGTTTGATTTTACTTTGAAATCGATTATCCGGAACACCCCTGGTTTTAATTGATCTGGATAATCGGGATTCTACTGTACTAAGACATTTGTTTTATTCTTTAGGTATATTTATATGACAACCCAGATCCCAATTCGGGGTACAGACCTTGGTTGACACCTGTGGAGAGGATACAGGGAGAAGTGTCGGTGTTCCTCGGTATACCATACGCCAGGCCACCTGTTCTGGAAGGCAGATTTAAGGTAATTTTGAGTTAAAAGATATATTAATTACTCAACCGCGTGAACTTTCGTTTGTCACAGATCGTCACAAATTATAGCCTATATGTTATTCTGGGTTATAAACAATAATACTGTAAAGTTTCATCAAAATTCATTCAGTAGTTTTTGCGTGAAAGAGTAACAAACATCCAGACATCTAGACGTCCAAACTTTCGCATTTATAATATTAGTAGGATTACTGAAATAATAAGTTTTTTAATAATTTACAAGATTAATAAATAGCAAGATTTACACAACTCACAATCCAATTATTATAGTTACTGGACTGATATCTACCAACAGTTTGTAGACAACTAGCTTTTCAGGGTTCCATAACAATAACAAGAAGCCCTGCCTATCCATCTGTTTTATTCTGAGACTTATGGTACAAACTATTTTAGCCAAAAATGTGTAATTTGACTACGAAATTGCAAATATGTTTGAGATATCTTTATCTTTACTGGAACCATTCCACCGCATTTTCATTCCCCTATTTGAGAACCTCTGGATAAGGCGGTTATCACACTGCGCCGCGCTCCGCCGCGGAGCGCGTGATTTTCATATAAAAAATCACGCGCGCGGACGCGTTGTCGGTGTGAAGTGCCGCGCGTGTTTTCAATACAAACTGAGGTACTTGCATACAATGATTAAATCTGTCGCCCCGCGCTCCGCGGCGGAGCGCGGCGCCACGGTAATACTATCTATACAGTAGTCCAACTCGACCATATTTTTGAAATAAATGTCAACAGCCGCGCGGAACGTCACGGTATGACAACATGCGGTAGGGCTGCCCACCTGTAGACCCTATTTTCATTACAACTGCCTACTAAGAATTTCTATCTAGTTTTGTGAATGTATTTTGTGATTGTAATTTTTATATTATTTTGACAAATAAAACACTTTATGAATGAAATAGGATAAAAATGCATGTTGTCTTGTCATTAGTAGATTTAATTAAAAAAATATATTTGTGTTAAGATTTAGTAACAAATCTTATAAATTTGCGACCGTAAAATGTATGCGCCTCGACTGAGGCGTACAAAATGCTTGATTTATACAGGGTGTTAGGTAAATGGGTTTATAAGCGGACACTAGCCCATGTTAACATGTGCATATTAATGGTATGGTGTAGTCGGAAAATTGGTATCATCATTTTATTCATTTTAATAATTTTAATTTTCATAAAAATCTGAATTTATAAATTATTTTAAAAAATTAAAAATGGCATCACTGACTTCACCATACCATTTACATGCATAAATGTTAACATATTTATTTAATAATAATAATATGGGCTAGTGTCGGCTTATAAACCCATTAACACCCGGTATAAATAGCTACTTGTAATTATTTTTGTAAAAAAGCACTGTCTAAAAAACAACACATCGTCCGTTTATTACTATGGCACATTCGCGACACCCCCGACTTTTGCATGTCGAGCGCATACCGAGATTTGAATTTCGAAGGAAAGCTCGAGTTTCGTCGGTTTATATGAAGTTACAATACTGTATGATATTATTACCGTGGCGGCGCAGTGTGATAACCGCCTAAGACCAAAACGCAGAAATTTTCGTCATACAAATTTTTCCCCTTTATAGTAAGTCCACTTTTGATTTACATAAATGCTAATAATAATATCCTTTGTTTAGCCGCCCCGTCAACATCCCGGCTGGCAGCTAATGCAAGCAGTGGACTGGGGCCCGGCCTGCCCCCAGCCAACCCGGTTCACCGGTGCCACCAAAGGCATCCGAGACATGGACGAAGACTGCCTCTACTTGAATATATTCTCACCTAATGTAAGTAGATTAGTTTATAATTATATTTGATTTTTAATAGTTCAGCACAAAGTTCAGAGGCTAAGGAAGTATGCAATCATCAGGCCAGTTCTTCCCTTATGCCTCTGGTAAATTACACCCATATTCACAAACATTACAATGAGGTCTCACAGTGCGCGTAGACACAGGGACACATTAATCAATCACAGAGCTCTATTCACATAGAGAGGGTTCGAAATTATCAAGATAATTACGCTTCATGATAATTATTAACAGTACTGATGATGATGAGAGTGAGTATAGAGACAGCGCAACGCTAAAGGTTTACGTGTTGCTCTCGCCTTCATGATTTTGAATATTTATTTGTTGAAGTTTTTGCTATAGGGTCCTATCGCCTGTTAGCGTCCTTGTCAAAGGGTTTTAATTTTAAAATTATCTATAATCTAGATACACGGTAGCGTGTCATGCCAAGTTCAAGTAACAGAACTGGCGAGCAGCACCGTGTGTAATTATTACACTAACCATTTGGAGACCCCCATTATCATTCATTCGAAATAGTTACAGCCACCTGTTACTAAAGAAATTAGATGTCATGGAAATGTTCAGTTTACTTTATACAAAACTTCGAAAATTACTGCCCTGAAATTAAAATACTGAATAAACTTTCAACAGGTCTATTAATAGCGGCTTCTTTAAGTTCTTTACGGTGCCGCAACCGCGCATGCTCTATCGATTGAACAAGTAACCCCTGTGACCTTATGTCTACGCATCAGAGGTCAGTTTTGCTTCACCTTCACAAGCAATTTTGCAATTAGATTAACTTTGGCTTAATTAATGAATCATTAGGAAGNCGGATTCCCATACAACCCTTTGCCTTACAACCCACTCAATCCCAATCCTCTGGATGATCAATACAAGTTTAATACTGTAAGTATAATGATGTCAATGCTACTAATTTACATTATTTTTTGTTGACATAAGCAAGTGTAAAGATGTCACATTAATTTTATTACAGAAAATGCCTTATAAAAGTAATGAATTCACATTTTTATCTCAACTAACAGAACCGTGACCCGAACAACCCCGATGCTTTGTTCCCTGGTGTGCTAGGGGGATGGAGAGAAGACCTTCAAGGTCGGGAGAGGCGAGACTCTCGGCAACTGAAGAGGGATATATTTGTCACTACCAACTTTGGACAAGTGCAAGGATTTAAAGTAAGTATTTTTAAACTTTTGGACACAAACATTACATAATTTACATTTAATTGTTGCTTTGTCTTCTTTCTTTGTCATAGCAAGCTATATTGGGACTTGTATAAGTGCTCTGTGAAAGGCCTGCATACTACTAAAGAATTTAAATTGGAATTTGACTTTAAACTCAAAAGCTTCAGTACTAAGACATTTGTTTTGTTCTTTAGGTATACTTATATGACAACCCAGATCCCAATTCGGGGTACAGACCTTGGTTGACACCTGTGGAAAGGATACAAGGAGAAGTGTCGGTGTTCCTCGGTATACCATACGCCAGGCCACCTGTTCTGGAAGGCAGATTTAAGGTAATTTTGAATTAAAAGAAATATTAATTACTGAAATAAGTTTCGGAATAATTTATAATATTAATAAATTGCAAGATTTACACAACTCACAAACTAAATAGTTACTGGACTGATATCCACCAACAGTTTGTAGACAACTAGCTTTTCAGGGTTCCATAACAATAACAAGAAGCCCTGCCTATCCATCTGTTTTATTCTGAGACTTATGGTACAAACTATTTTAGCCAAAAATGTGTAATTTGACTACGAAATTGCAAATATGTTTGAGATATCTTTATCTTTACTGGAACCATTCCACCGCATTTTCATTCCCCTATTTGAGAACCTCTGGATAAGGCGGTTATCACACTGCGCCGCGCTCCGCCGCGGAGCGCGTGATTTTCATATAAAAAATCACGCGCGCGGACGCGTTGTCGGTGTGAAGTGCCGCGCGTGTTTTCAATACAAACTGAGGTACTTGCATACAATGATTAAATCTGTCGCCCCGGCGGCGCAGTGTGATAACCGCCTAAGACCAAAACGCAGAAATTTTCGTCATACAAATTTTTCCCCTTTATAGTAAGTCCACTTTTGATTTACATAAATGCTAATAATAATATCCTTTGTTTAGCCGCCCCGTCAACACCCCGGCTGGCAGTTAATGCAAGCAGTGGACTGGGGCCCGGCCTGCCCCCAGCCAACCCGGTTCACCGGTGCCACCAAAGGCATCCGAGACATGGACGAAGACTGCCTCTACTTGAACATATTCTCACCCAATGTAAGTAGACTAGTGTAAAATTATGCATTTTTTATTTATTTTCATATTAAAGTCCAGAGAAGTCTAGATGCAGATCGCCGATTTTTAGTTGGCTGTTGATTGCGCCCGATTTTCATTTGTATTAAGAATCGGCCGATAGCAAAACCGTGTAATGCGCGCACTTTCATACATATCCATCCTTATTAACTACTCGACCCAACTATCGGCCAACTAAAAATCGGTGGTCTGCGCCTAGGCTAAGGAAGAAATATGCAATCATCAGGTCAGTGCAGGGAGTATTATGCCAAATCCACACTTAATTATGCCTCTAGTAAAGTACAGAGGGTCATCCTTCTGCAGTGGAGACTAAATGAACAGATGATGATGAGAGTGTAGAGACAGTGTGCGACGCTAAAGGTTTAGGTGTTGCTCTCGCCGTCATAATTTTGAATATTTGTTTGTTGAAGTTTTTACTTTATGGTCCTATCGCCTATTAGCATCCTTGTCAAAGGCTTTTAATTTTAAAATTATCTAGACACGCATTAGCGTGTCAAGCCAAGTTCAAATAACAGAACTTGTGTGCAGCTCCGTGAGTAATTATTACAATAACCATTTGGAGACCCCCTTATTATCATTCATTCGAAATAGTTACAGCCACCTGTTACTAAAGAAATTAGATGTCATGGAAATGTTCAGTTTACTTTATACAAAACTTCGAAAATTACTGCCCTGAAATTAAAATACTGAATAAACTTCAACAGGTCTATTAATAGCGGCATCTTTATTTCTTTACGGTGCCGCAACCGCGCATGCTCTATCGATTGAACAAGTAACCCTTGTGACCTTATGTCTACGCATCAGAGGTCAGTTTTGCTTCACCTTCAGCAGCAATTTTGCAATTAGATTAACTTTGGCTTAATTAATGAATCATTAGGAAGTCAATGAACTGTGATAGTTTAATATGAGTCAGTGTATTGTTTTATAGCTTCCTCGCGTACGATAAAAATGTTTACTTTCGTGATTTGTAATCTTTAAAAATGCAGTTATTATCTGCGAAGGCCGCGTTTCAACAGTGTGTTGTTTTTTACAAACAAAGGTTTAAATAAATGCGATCTACTAAACAAATGACTATGCGAAAATCAAGAAAAACACATGGTGCCATCTCACGTATTTGTTATGATTACAATTTTACTACAAAAACATAAGTTTAATTATTTGTGCTATGAAGTATATGGAAATAAATTACATGACGGACAATAGAACAATCACCTGAAGGTGGGTAACTCATTATGTCAAATGCCTGTGGTGCATATGCAATTGGGTAATCGTTGCCTACTTTGAAATCAAAATAATACACATAATGTTTGCGGTATAGTTTGCGAATATAGTTTTGCGTAACCTAACTAACCCCGAGGTATTACGCATATTCAAAACTAGCTGTGCCCGCGACTTCGTACGCGTGAAAATAGTTTGAATATTTTTTCCCGTTTTTGCAACATTTTTCTTTACTGCTCCGCCCCTAAGTATTAGCTGTAGGCTGTAGGGTGATGAGCCTAAAGCCTTCTTCGATAAATGGGCTATCAATCACGAAAATATTTTTTCAAATCGGGCCAGTAGTTCCAGAGATAGCGCGTTCAAACAAACAAACTCTACAGCTTTATAATATTAGTACAAATAACATTATAATTCTAAGCATTTATCAGATGCGCTCATTTCACCAGGGACGAATTGTCGGCAGTGATGTAATACCATTGTTGGGAATAATAATATGTGGCCTACATTTCTAAGGACACTGTAATTGTTATTTTAATTTTTCGTGTGAATAGATGATTGTAGTAAATACATAGTAAAATGATGACAAAGTAGGCTTTTAATCTGTTTGGAAACAAATGTGACCACCCTCCACTCTTCCTGTGTTCTTCCTTCATATCGTAAAAAGCGACAAAATAGGCTAAAATCAGGCTTCCCCATTCCATGTGACCAGCATGGGGAGTGTAGCCAATCCTCCATTTACCTCTGGTAAATTGGAGAGAGTCATATTATGGTCCTGCAGTAGAAAATATTTGAGGATGATCTTATCTTATCTTATTTAGGGCCGCGCATGGGCGCAGTGCACGTCGACCCATGGGGATCTTTTGTGCTTCCATATACCTTTATCCTCCCTCATCCACAAAGATCCTATCCATAGAGTGAATCAAGTGCTTGGGTGAGAAGGACCTATATTCTTCTGGTGTCGGATACGCCGACCCCAGGAGACCCATTCTAGTTCTAGCTAGCGCGTCGCATTCGCACAGTAGGTGTTTCATGGACTCCGCATGTTCTCCACATGCTTGACAGCTGTCATCCGTAGTTAGGCCCATGAGGATGATCTTTAGTTTAATTGTTTTTAATTCCAGTTACAATCCCAATTCTAGACCGGGCCTAGATTACTGATTATTTGCAGGCAGTTAAGCCATCATTATCATTTCAGCTACAGAATATCCACTGCTGAACATAAGCCTTCCCCAAATTTCCAGATTAGCCGGTTGGTAGCAGCCTGCATCTTGCGCCTTCTGTCATCTGTTCTCTCTACTAAGTAAGGAAATTAATGACCAATTTTCCCGTTTTTTATCCACAGACTGAAACGGGGTCGACGGCTCAGAAGTACGCCGTGATGGTCTACATCCACGGAGGACAGTTCTCATCGGGCGCTTCCAACCTATTCCCTGGCCACATGCTAGCCGCTTTCTATGACGTCGTCGTCGTGTCCATCAACTACAGACTGGGCGCTTTAGGTATGTATTATCATCATCATCATTTCAGCCATAGGATGTCCACTGCTGAACATAGGCCTCCCCCAATGTTTTCCATGTTGATCCATTGGTAGCGGCAGCATCCAGCGCCTTCCTGCTACCTTTATCAGGTCGTCGGTCCACCTTGTGGGTTTTCCGGTACGCGGCCTCCACTCCAGAACCTTGCTGCCCCATCGGCCGTCTGTTCTGCGTACTGCCCTGCCCATTGCCACTTCAGCTTGCTAATCCGTCGGGCTATGTCAGTGACTTTAGTTCGTATATGGATCTCGGCATTTCTGATTCGATTTCGTAAAGAAATGTGTTAATTGATTTGTTATTAATACTATGCTTGTGGTGTACACTTTCACATACAAAAGTATAGCAAATAATACATGATAATTATTAAATCTATACACGGGTTCTAACACCGCGCTCAGGTTTTTACGAGTTTTCGAGTGTTTATTATAGTAGAAATAGTGTATGTATTTCAGCAATATACATGACAATGTGATGTTTTCTTATTTACAATAAAGGGTGTCATTATTTATGTTTTACTCTGTGGATATTGTTTTTATGTTAAAAAAAAGAAACCAGAAGAAAAGAAAAGTAGAAAAATCAATATGGTGTTGCTCGCCTCTCTTTTTATTAGAGGCGGTTTGCAAAATCTATATTCTAAGAAAAAGAAGGGTGCGTCACTCCCTTTCATCATGGACTAAGTCACCACGCGTGCAAATTGAAATATAGTTTTCTACAATTTATTGTTTCCTATACACACTTTACTTTTACACTAATATTATCTGTCTATTATGTTGAATGAGACGATAACTGAATCGTTATTATTGTAACTCGTATTTTGTTATTTGTGGCTAAGATATAAATTCTTGTAATTTTTGTATAGGAAAGTTTTTTTTATATAATCTTGGAATTTAAAGAAGTAAGAAGACCTTGTTGAAGCATCTCCAAGATGGCGTTGCTCGCCTCTCGTCTTCAGACTCATATCGGTTTAATTAATTAGATTAATTAAATCGACAACCTAAATGTTTCTGAAGACGCTAGGTGCACAGCGCCTGTTCATCACATCGCAGCGATATGTAGTTTATCTTTACCAAAATGGACTTTCTTCTTGAAAGAAGTAAGAAGAACTTGTTCAAGCATCTTCAAAATGGCGTTGCTTGCCTCACGTCTTCAGACTCATATCGGTTTAATTAATTAGATTAATTAAATCGACAACCTAAATGTTTCTGAAGACGCTAGGGCTAGGTGCACAGCGCCTGTTCATCACATCGCAGCCAGATGTAATTTACCGCCAGTGTCTCCTGACCTCCAGTAATTTACATTATTACCAGTAATAATTTAATGAGCACGGGTGCACCCGCTCAGCGTGCATCAAAACAGTACCACGTTTCATCATCATCATCAAATCAGCCACAGGACGTCGTCCACTGCTGAACATAGGCCTGCTCCTCCAATGATTTCGATATCGACCGGTTGTTTGCGGCCTCCTGATACCTTTGTGAGGTCATCGGCACCACATTAACAGTTCAAAATGTTAAATCTGTTCGTCTCTGTGCTACTTAGCTATAATTATAATAAAAAATCTATACTAATATTATAAAGCTGAAGAGTTTGTTTGTTTGTTTACTTGAACGCGCTAATCTCCGGAGCTACTGGTCCGATTTAAAAAATCTTTCTGTGTTAGATAGCCCATTTATCGAGGAAAGGCTATAGGCTATACAACATCACGCTATGATCAATAGGAGCAGAGCAATAATGAAAAATTTTGCGAAAACGGGTTTTCACGCGTACGAAGTCGCGGGCACAGCTAAAATAAAAAGTATTTAATTCAGATAACAGAGATCCATAAATGTTAGTAAAAACTTAGGCTAATGTTAGTATCTTATTTCTAAAACCGACCTCGTCCTGCTGAGCATGTGGCCGATCAGTGGACAATCCCCACTATCGGCTATCTCCTTCAGTACGCTGTGGCAGCTACCGCGCACTCTGTGCAGTAATGATGCTAAAGCCTGGTCCGTGAGCACGTAGAATCCCGTCCAATGACCCCAAGCTACCCATCTTTATCGCTCGCGCGTACTTATATTGCTGTCGCGACTGTGCGACGCGCGCCCGCAGTGAGTGTGCGAGCGCGACAGCAACATATGTAATTACGTGCGAGCGACTAGGATGGGCAGCTTGGGGTCATTGGACGGGATTCTACGTGCTCACGGACCAGGCTTTAGATGATAATTATTATATTTAGTTTTGTAATAACTCTCAAGTATTTTTATGTCGGGATTCAAATGAAGCTGGGAGAACTGGACTTCAAGATAATAATTGAAGTTTGAAAGAAGGAAAAAGCTGCGGTCTTCTCTAATTTGGTGTCGTTCGCTCGTCTATTTCATCCTTCTCTGCAATGAGTGAGTATGAAGTTGATTAGTGAGTGGCACCAATTCATCACGATCGAATGAGGCTTAAGAAGAATGGAAAATAAGTTTAAAAAAATACATGTTTTAAATATTAATTTATGGTCATGCTCTTTTAGTCCTTGCGTCTCTGTAGATTTTGTATTTCTATATTTCTCAAATTTTATGTGAAACTTTAACCTATTTTTAAAAAACTAAAACTGGTTTGCTTATTGTATAAATAGATTAAACTATGTATAAAAAGTGACTACTGTATTTTGGACAATGTGAATTTTCGTTCTTAATATTATGTATTTCTGAATTTTTCTTATTAGTTATGTATGTTAATGTTATATGGACTGGATGATTATTTTTTTAGACTCCTCATTGTTGTTCACTTACAATAATTTTGTGTAATATCTGCAATAATAATTAATCTGTATTATTAGCTGTTAAGTCTTATTCTGTACCATTTTGCTGTCTATAATGTATTATTATAAAGTATTTTTCTAAGGTCTGTAGCCAATGCTAAAAAGGAAGGTAAAATCTAACGCTAATGATAATTATAATTTATAGATGTTAATGTGATGTTTAGCAGTATTTCGACCTTTTTACGCATGTTTGTTAGTTATTTTAATGTAATACGTAAATAATATCTTCTTTTAACTCTTTCTGTGTCGTTTTCTATGTTGTAGTGAAAAGTTGCCTATACCTTCGTCTTCGATGTGCTTTTCTTGATTTTATTAAGTCGAATAATTCTTCGGCAATATTGCTCAGTAGTTCTGTGTACCCAATTATTAGCATTCAATTAAAGTATTTAGTATATTCGTTAAGCTAGCACCCTTAACACAAGCATATAAGTTGCTTACTTAACTTGGGGCTAGCTGGCGCTGTGTGAAATTGAAATTGTCCAAAGATTTATTATTATTATTAATTAACAGCAGCATGGTCATTCGTTATCCCATTTTTGCTCATATCTTCTATCAATACATCACCGCATCATGCTTTACGGCAGAATAACCAATTTTGTCTACTTTTTTCGTCATTGTACAACTTTATATTTCTTCGTAGGTTTCCTCTCAACTGCCGATGAGAACTCTCCAGGGAACTACGGGATCCTCGACCAGGCGATGGCGCTCCGTTGGATCCACGACAACATCGGAGCATTTAATGGGGACCGGGCGTCTATTACGCTGTTTGGGCCGGGTGCCGGCGCCGCCTCTGCTGGGATATTGGCTGTGGCGCCGCAAACTAGGGATTTGGTCACCAGGATTATAGCGCAGGTCAGTGTTCCTTGGCTAGGTGTCACTTAGTAGCCACGCTTTAGCTAGACTTCAATGGGGATCGGGCGTCTATTACGCTGTTCGGACCGGGTGCCGGCGCCGCCTCTGCTGGGATATTGGCTGTGGCGCCGCAGACTAGGGATTTGGTCACCAGGATTATAGCACAGGTCAGTGTTCCTTAGCTAGGTATCACTTAGTAGCCACGCTTTAGCTAGACTTCAATGGAGCCCGGGCGTCTATTACGTTGTTTGGACCGGGTGCCGGCGCCGTCTCTGCTGGGTTATTGGCTGTGGCGCCGCAGACCAGGGACCTGGTTACCAGGATAATAGCACAGGTCAGTCAGGCCCTTAGCCAGTTCGCTTAAGCTATATCCTCCGTCAGCAACAAAAACGGAAGTGCGAAGGGATATAACACAAAGATACGTCGCAAATTGGTACGAAAGCCGCGATGAATGCCATTGGTTGGATTGCGTTCGTCGCGCTTGCCGCATTGCGTCACGCTCGTTGCTGACTTAAAAAACCGCGCTAGCAGCTACCGTTAAGCAAGAATTTAATGGAGACCGGACTTCTATCACGCCTGCTAGTCGTGGCGCCGCAGACTAAAGACCCTCACCAGAATCATAACACACTTAAGTTAATTGCACCAACAGCAAAAAACAATATAATTCTATCGGCGAATGACAATCACAAAAAACGTTTTTTCAAATTGTTTAATTTATTTACAGAGTGGGTCAGCGTTAGCAGACTGGGCGATGATCGAAGACAAGTTCCGCGTGCAGAACACGTCACTGGTATTCGGAAGGCTGCTGGGCTGCCCTATAGACTCGTCNTTCGGCTTGACGTCTTACAAGAAACACCCTGTATAAATATATATATATATACCGTGGCCTATACTGGTACCTACTTGTAAAAGCTCTATAAAAGCGGTTTTAGGTTACACAACCGTTATTCCCCTAATGTCCATTCAACATTTATCATTTCGTCCCATTTTTGGAACTCATTGATACAAAACAGACGTTAACCGTAAGTGGTCAGATAAGGAACCGAATCCGGGGCACTTACACTTACCAGCTAATGGGCGACTGGACTTGTTCTAAATATAGGTACTTTTACTTAGGAATATTCGAACTGGAGTCACTGTTTCATCATCATTTCAGCCACAGGACGTCCACTGCTGAACATAGGCCTCTCCCAATAACTTCAGTATCAGTGACTTGATGATAATGAAGTATTAACGTGTCAGTTTTCGTGTGTTTTCGTGTCAAATAAAGATTTTCTATTTCATTGCTTTACTTGAGTGTTTGAATGAAAAATAAATTATATTAATAAGTTTTTACAGTAAACAATAGAAAAAACACTCTCTTGTACCTAAGAGCCTATTGTAAGGATTAGTAACTACATTTGTCCATGAAAATGTCTCGTAAAATTAAAAACAAAAGAAACTCTACAATTGTTTGGGTTAACAAAATGTCAATAAAGACTGACATCATTAATATCTTAGTTGCGATCCTCATTATAAAAAGAACAAAGCAAAAGCACATATCCGACTCACAATCTTAAATTAATTAACATAATTGTTACTAACCAAATACTTTCATAGCCCCGTTTAAGTTTCTCGTACTTAGGCTAAGTTTTTATTCAATAAATTTATCTTATCTTAATCCTTATTATAAAAACAACGAAACAAAAGCACATATCCGACTCATAAGTTTGCCCGTCCCGGATTCGAATCAATGATCCACAAAACAATGCTCCATCCACTAATCCATTCAGTAAAAACTCATTTTTACATCCTTTATTCTTACAAAAGGCGGATATTCAACTGTACAAGAATTCAATTGGCCTGACCTGGGCATTGAACCGCATTTAATTCAGATTTCAATTGAGGCGACCTCACGACACGCTGTTGAGAGCAATTGATTGGTTTATGTTTATTAATCAAGACTCAAGGCATAGGTCAGTCACAGTGGAAAAGAATAGGGTTTTTGACACCATGAACAATAAATAAATAAACAACTTGAAAAAATCGAATCTGCCTAAGGCGGGACTCGAACCCACGACCTTCCGCTTGCCGGGCGACTGCTCTACCAACTGAGCTACTTTGACACTTTTTATTAGAACTGTCAAAACGAGACTCTCCCAACAGATTTTGAGCTACTCAGGAGAACCAGAGTGACTGACCACGCAATCTTGTATACCCATTCTTATAAGATACACCATACAAGAATGCATGGTAAATTCAGTGAACTGCTCCTGAATCGAATGTACCTACTACTACTATTTTATTTATTTATATTAACCGGCAGACAGTGGTGACTGAGTTTGTTGCGGCGCTTCTTCTCAGCACTTGCCAAATGTTGGTCTCGAAGCGCTGGTAGGGTAAAAAGATTATGAGACATGTAGAGGCTCCTTAAGAGCAAAATGACGATTTGTAAGAACTATTTATTAGTCCAAACAAATAAAGAAATTTTGACTTGACTTTGACTTTATAATGTATTATTATAAAGTATTTTTTCTAAGGTCTGTAGCCAATGCTAAAAAGGAAGGTAAAATCTAACGCTAATGATAATTATCTATATATATAAAAATGAAACCCGTTTCGCGTTGTCACGGCATCACGTGTGAACGGCTGAACCGATTTCGATAATTCTTTTTTTTAAATGTTTGTGGATGTCCAAGGATGGTTCTTACGGAAAAAAATATTAAGAAAATCTCTACGCTAAGGCGGTACGAAGTTCGCCGGGTCAGCTAGTAATTTATAGATGTTAATGTGATTTTTAGCAGTATTTCGACCTTTTTACGCATGCTTGTTAGTTATTTTAATGTAATACGTAAATAATATCTTCTTTTAACTCTTTCTGTGTCGTTTTCTATGTTGTAGTGAAAAGTTGCCTATACCTTCGTCTTCGATGTGCTTTTCTTGATTTTATTAAGTCGAATAATTCTTCGGCAATATTGCTCAGTAGTTCTGTGTACCCAATTATTAGCATTCAATTAAAGTATGTAGTATATTCGTTAAGCTAGCACCCTTAACACAAGCATATAAGTTGCTTACTTAACTGGCGCTGTGTGAAATTGTCCAAAGATTTATTATTATTATTAATTAACAGCAGCATGGTCATTCGTTATCCCATTTTTGCTCATATCTTCTATCAATACATCACCGCATCATGCTTTACGGCAGTATAATCAATTTTGTCTACTTTTTAGTCATAGTACAACTGTATGTTTCTTCGTAGGTTTCCTCTCAACTGCCGATGAGAACTCTCCAGGGAACTACGGGATCCTCGACCAGGCGATGGCCCTCCGTTGGATCCACGACAACATCGGAGCATTTAATGGGGACCGGGCGTCTATTACGCTGTTTGGGCCGGGTGCCGGCGCCGCCTCTGCTGGGATATTGGCTGTGGCGCCGCAGACTAGGGATTTGGTCACCAGGATTATAGCGCAGGTCAGTGTTCCTTAGCTAGGTGTCACTTAGTAACCACGCTTTAGCTAGACTTCAATGGGGACCGGGCGTCTATTACGCTGTTCGGACCGGGTGCCGGCGCCGTCTCTGCTGGGTTATTGGCTGTGGCGCCGCAGACTAGGGACCTCGTCACCAGGATTATAGCGCAGGTCAGTGTTCCTAAGCTAGGCGTCACTTAAGCCTTGGGCAGACCAAACGCGGGGCAGTAGCAGCGCAGTTTGAATGCGGGCCCGCGCAAGTTGTAATACAAGAAACTCTTTGAAGTGTGTCACACCAAATTTGAACGCGGGCCCGCGCTCCAACCGCGCCGCACTGCAACTACCGAAATACAAACGAGGCGCGCGGGAGCGGGACAGAAGCGGCGCGAACGCGGGCCCGCGCTGTTGTATTACTATGGCGGCCATATTAGCATGACACACCGGACGCACGGCGGTAGCAGCGCGTTGTCGCGGTTTTCGAATATTGAAATTTTTGACAACCACTTGCTTTGCTACTGCGCTGCTTTCAGCTTGCCTCAGCCGCGCTGCAACTGACCCGCACTGCTTCTGACCTGCGTTTGGTCTGTGGAAGCCTTTAGTAGCCACGCTTTAGCTAGACTTCAATGGGGACCGGGCTTCTATCACTCTGTTCGGACCGGGTGCCGGCGCCGCCTCTGCTGGTATACTGGCCATGGCGCCACAGACTAGGGATCTGGTCACCAGGATCATAGCGCAGGTTATTCATGCCTTTAGCCAGTGTCACTTAGCTATGTCCTACGTCGGCGACAAGAACGCAAAGTGGTACATAAGCCGCAAGTGATGAATGCCATTGGTTCGTCGCACTTGCCGCATTATGTCACGCTCGTCGTTGACTTAAACACCCACGGCTTACCAAGAATTTAATGGGGACCGGACTTCTATTACCTTTTCTAGCCGTAGCATTGCAGACTAGAGACCTGATCACCAGGATCAGGAACAAATGTCGCAATCATAAGTGCTAATTGGTCTAAACTGAATAAAATATTTTTGATTTAATTTGATTTGAACAGCGCAAATTCTTTGGTGAATGGCAATCACAAAAAACGTTTTTTTAAATTGTTTAATTTATTCCCAGAGCGGGTCAGCGTTAGCAGACTGGGCGATGATCGAAGACAAGTTCCGCGTGCAGAACACGTCTCTGGTATTTGGAAGGCTGTTGGGCTGTCCTATTGACTCGTCNGACTCGTCGTGGAAGCTGGTCAACTGCCTCCGCCAAGGGAGGAGCTTCTATGAGCTGGGAAATGCTGAGTTTCAGGTAAGGGTTCTCTTTTACAGAGTGGTTCAGGGATAGAAGACAGATTGAGTCAGCACTGGCAGACTGGGTGCTGAATGAAGACAAGTTCTTTCCCATTTGACTGTTCGAATTATGCTCGTTTTCACCATCAATCCCATTTTTAAGTGACTCCTATGAAAACAAAATTCCTGTTACGCTTTACAATAGGGGTCAAAACGGGCATTAGTCTCTTAATTTTTGTTCTATTTTGGATCCCTTTATCTGACTGATGAATTTTGAAAATGTTAAGTACACTCAATAACAAAATAAAAAATCTTTATTTGACACGAAAATACAATTCTGTCTCTATTAAATCCAGATATTGAAATTCAACCCATCTCTGGCCTTGAATTTTGAGTTTTGAACAACGTTTTTTCGTAATATTAATCATTTTTTTCCCCACAGCCGCAAGTAGGCTTCATCCCCTGGGGTCCAGTCTTCGAGCGGAACTTCACGTTCCCCGGCGACGAGTGGTACGAGGGTTGGCGGCAGCGCGACTGGCGGCTCCTCGACACCATGCCCGAACAGCTGCTACGCCTCCGCCAGTACAACCCTGCGCTACAGTATATGACTGGCGTCACCACGCAGGAAGCGGCCTACTTCATCTGTGAGTAAAGCCACAGAATAATAATAAGTACTACGTACAGAAGTTTTACTTCGCGAAGGTATTTAAAAAAATGAATGCTCAATGTCATTAACAATATGGTGTAATTTAGCTTGTCTCAAGAGTCGAGCACCATTTTGTTGACAAACGTCAGTGATCGGCACTGCGCCGAAGCTATAGGGCTGACTTCGTAAAATGATGTGACGTGAGGTGCCAAACTGCGTAAAATGGCGGAGGAAATACATGATTTAGCATGAATTATCATGAATAATATTAACTACTTATTTATCTCTCAGTGTCTTGAGGCAACTTAAAAAAGTATATTCTGTGTTTTTATTATTATTTAGGCAGTTAAATACTGCACAGTATTTAGTACACCAATCAATGTTCGCTCGTATGTGAGGCCTTTTCGAATAGTATCATGTAGGTGGGCCATCGTGCGTGTTTTGTTTTCGATGAACAGGCCTGGTAAATCCTGGTCCGTGAGCACGTAGAATTTTGTCCAATGACCCCAAGCTACCCATCCTTATCGCTCGCGCGTAATTATGTTGCTGTCGCGTCTGTGCGACGCGCGCCCGCAGTGAGTGTGCGAGCGCGACAGCAATCCCCACAGCTGAAGCGCCGCCAGTACAACCTCGCGCTCAGTATATGACTGGCGTCACCACGCAGGAAGCGGCCTACTTCATCTGTGAGTAAAGCCTGGTCCGTGAGCACGTAGAATTTTGTCCAATGACCCCAAGCTACCCATCCTTATCGCTCGCGCGTAATTATATTGCTGTCGCGACTGTGCGACGGGCGCCCGCAGTGAGTGTGCGAGCGCGACAGCAATCCCCACAGCTGAAGCGCCGCCAGTACAACCCCGCGCTACAGTATATGACTGGCGTCACCACGCAGGAGGCGGCATACTTTATTTGTGAGGAGACTTATCACAAGCTAAAGTACGGCCAATGAGAAGCGATACCAAATGCAAACAAACCCAATGACATGGGTGAACCCGTCTGACTTTGACATATTTTGGCGGGAGAGCAAATACACAAGATGGGAAGAGACAGAATATAACAACTCGACAGTCGTATCGACCTTTTGTGTCGCTGCTAGTTAGCCGTACTTTAGTGCTCTTTCGATGACTTAGGCTTGATTGCAGTATCACTTTGATTTTCATATAAAAAATCACGCGCGCGGACGCGTTGTCAGTGTGAAGTGCCGCGCATGTTTTCTATACAAACTTGAGGTACTTGCATACAATGATTAAATCTGTCGCCCCGCGCTCCGCGGCGGAGCGCGGCGCAGTGTGATAACCGCCTTAAACTCCATACATAAAGCACTGGTTATCGTTATAGTTACCGTTAAAGTTAGGTGGTGCAACTCGGCCTAAATCTCTTTCGGTTCGTTTTTTTTCCTGATACTATAGCCAATTATGCTAATTATAGCAAAAATAAAATTAATCGATTTAAGGTAACTGGCAAAGTCACGGCAATTTAATTATTCTAAAAGAACGAGGCAGAACTCCCCGTTTATATGTTGCTTATGGCACAATGACAGGGTTTGTGGGTCTCCTGCAATCACTGAGTCATAGACCTTTTTGTCTCTTACCACCATTTCTATTTGGCCACTGCGATACAAGCTTTCTAGCTTAGTGCAGAGACCGCTAGAATAAATTGTACATGTGACATCTTTTAGAAATACTTTTTATGTACCTTTTTTTACTTTTTTATTTTTTATTTTCTAAACCAGCGGTTCCCGAATGGTGGTCCGCGGAACCCTGGGGTTCCGTGGAAAGGCCGCAAGGGTTCCGTGAAAAATATCCCACGTTTCGTGACCGACGTTGTTAGCTCGCACCGACTTGTTTACGCACAAGGGAGTTGCAGGGCGTGAGGGCGGAGTAGTACGGGGGTTCCGCTAGGAAAAGTATAATCAATTAGGGTTCCTTGGCAAAAAAAAATTGGGAATCCCTGTTCTAAACCTTGAAACTAAACTCTGAGCTTTTTACACAGACAACAACGATTCCCTCGCGCCGTCGTACCAGATCACCGAGAATTGGTTCAATCAGAAGGTGGCGGAGTTAGTACTCCGCTACAACTACACTTTGAATCCTCGCGGCGTGTACGAGGCAGTCCGATACATGTACACGTATCATCCTGAACCGCACAACGTCAGCGCTATACGCGACCAGTACATACACGTAAGTGTGTAGTTTAGTTATTTATAATGCCCTTCTGACAGAAGATCCGCGGTCCACACACTATATCAGCGCGAAACATCAAGATTGAGCTGAAAACCAGTTACGTGATTTGACGACTTGTGTCATGTCACAATTTTTGCTGAGCTTTTCAGCTTGCCTCAATAAAATTTTGTGGTAAATGGTTATGTATGCACCTAAAATGTTAAATAAATAAATATTAATCTTTGGACAATTTCACAGTGTCAGCTTGCCCCAAAGCTGAATATAGTACTTCTACTTCTAAGTATTTTTCTAAGTGACAGTTAATTTTATAATTGCATTTTTCGGATGTCGCGTGCGTGTGTCTTGTTTAAGATTGGACGAACGCGGTCAACACTTGCCAAACCTATACACGACAAAAAATTGTTTCGAAACGACAAATTATACACTCGGCATCAAATAAATCGCACCTCCCGCAACAAGCACTTCTCAAACGTATGCATCCCCACTTCCTACCAACATTGGTTCCATTTGAAAGCCTAGTTCTAAACTTCATTTCATTAAAGGAAAGGTGTTTACCTCAAAAATGTGTTTTTAGAAGGATCCAGAGTCACTTCATCAAAAAATAGGTAGTTACGCTTGAGCCAAATTTTATGGCTATAATACTGTTGAATTGGGATTAATCGCTATCCATCTGTTAAAAAGGACACGTAATATCATTATTTGGTTTTATAACCACAAAAACTGGTCTAATTGTTCCCAGAGGTAAGCCCCAAGTTAGGCCTTTTTTCAAGTCACATTTATGGTACCCGTTAAGTGTTCATAAAAAAAATAAATGTATTTTTCTTCAAGTTTATTTATTGGGCTTTCAAATAACACCAGTATTGTTGGGGTAACATGATTGTGTCAGAAGAAAATCTTTAAAACTCGCGTCGCGAAAGGTGCGGTTTATTTGATGTTGAGTATATATTAATGCGTTCAACATTAATCCCATTTGATATTTAAAATTTTTGATGACATCAACAAAGATTTAACACAACAGTAAAAAAAAGTAAACCATATCTCCTAAAGTACTAACATTTGTTTTTCTTTACAGCTCCTATCCGACTTTCTCTACCGCGCGCCAACCGACAAAATGGTCAAACTATTGCTCGAACAAAACGTACCAGTCTACATGTATGTCCTAAACACCACAGTGGAGGCCTATCGCTGGCCCGAATGGCGTCAATATGCCCACGATACAGAGCATACCTTCTTAACTGGAGCCCCGTTTATGGACCAAGAGTTCTTCCCGGTGAAGATGAGAATCGACAGGCAACAGTGGACGCCCAATGATAGGAACATGAGCCACTTCTTTATGAAGGCGTATTCGGACTTCGCGAGATTCGGGTGAGTTTTTTTTTTATTTTGACGTATTCATAATATTGTCATTGTTACGTAAAGACGACATGACAAGTTAAACATTGCGAAATCCTTTGTTTGTAACAGGCGTTATTTTGCAACAAAACATGTATAGGCAATCGTATAAAATCCGGTCGCCGAGCAGTGCGACGGGCGGCCGCAGTGAGTGTGCGAGCGCGACAGCAATACAAAAATGGGTAGCTTGGGGTCATTGTACGAAATTCTATCTGCTCGGCGACCGGACTTTAGATTGAGAACGCACTATATCGTCAAAGACATTTGCTAAACTCTATTTACACAGTTTCGGATCTATCTGTCGTCGCGCACATCGCTTTGGATAACGTTTTTTAGAGTAACCCTGCAGGTGTCAAGGCATAGTTACTAAATTAAAGTAAAAGCAATTAATGAACTCTGGATTAAAATGTCATTTCCATACTAAATGACAACTTCAGCCAGAGTTCAACTAGGGTGTAACTTTTATTAATAATGGGGTGATAGTATTAAGTATTAGCACAGAATAATAATAAGTACTACGTACAGAAGTTTTACTTCGCGATGGTATTTAAAAAAATGTATGCTCAATGTCATTAACAATATGGTGTAATTTAGCCTGTCTCAAGAGTCAAGCACCATTTTGTTGACAAACGTCAGTGATCGGCACTGCGCCGAAGCTATAGGGCTGACTTCGGTAAAATGATGTGACGTGAGGTGCCAAACTGCGGAAAATGGCGGAGGAAATACATGATTTATGAATAATATTAACTACTTATTTACCTCTCAGTGTCTAGAGGCAACTTAAAAAAGTACATTCTGTTCTGTGTTTTTATTATTATTTAGGCAGTTAAATACTGCACAGTATTTAGTACACCATTTTCTTTATTTTCTTCCATCGTACACAAGAAACCGCTTGCGTGAGTCAATGTTCGCTCGTATGTGAGGCCTTGTCGAATAGTATCCTGTAGGTGGGCCATCGTGCGTGTTTTGTTTTCGATGTAAACTCGCGGAGATGAACAGGCCTGGTATTAGTTAAAAGAAGTTAGGATAATGTTGAAAGTAAGAATCTAACGTTCCTTATTCCAGCAACCCAACCCGCTCGCGAATTCTCGGCGTTCACTTCGAGCTGGCCAAGGCGGGTCAGCTGCGCTACCTCAACCTCAACACCACCTTCAACTCCAGCATCCAGCTCAACTACCGCCAGACCGAGCTCGCCTTCTGGACCGTGTACCTGCCCACTGTCATCGGCAGGCTGGTGCCTACTTACCCGCCCATCACTGAGGTAAGTGCTCACATTCGTTGTCCTAGGTGAGTGATAGGACTTGAGATGAAGCGAAGCGACGTAATGCGATCAATCTGTGTCCTACGCGACTACTTAGGCTACTATTATACACCGACTACTTGATAATTTCGCGGCCTTTCGAGCTCGCCTTCTGGACCGTGTACCTNAGTCCTTTACGCGGTATAACCGGAAAATCGAAAAAACGCCCCTTTCGGGGGCCCCCACCACTTAAGCACAACTCCGTCGAAGTCGAAAACTTAGGAGAGTCTTAATGGGCAACCAATGAAGCCATTAAAGCAAAAAAATCTTTTGTAGGAATTATTTCCGATTTAATCAATTTTTGTGTTTAATTCTACTGGCCTATTCATTAGTTTTGCAATAATAATAACATACTAAATTACTCCGTTTCTTTTACAGCTCCTATCCGACTTTCTCTACCGCGCGCCAACCGACAAAATGGTCAAACTTTTACTCGAACAAAACGTACCAGTCTACATGTATGTCCTAAACACCACAGTGGAGGCCTATCGCTGGCCAGAATGGCGTCAATATGCCCACGATACAGAGCATACCTTCTTAACCGGAGCCCCGTTTATGGACCAAGAGTTTTTCCCGGTGAAAATGAGAATAGACCGCCAGCAGTGGACGCCCAATGATAGGAACATGAGCCACTTCTTTATGAAGGCGTATTCGGACTTTGCGAGATTCGGGTGAGTTTATTTTTTTGTTTTGACGTATTCATAATATTGTCATTGTTACGTAAGCCTAGGCGCAGACCATCGATTTTTCGTCGGCCGATAGTTTAGTCGGGCAGTTGATCAGTATGGACATGTATGGAAGTGCGCACATTACACCGATTTGATTTGGCCGATTCTTCATACAAATTAAAATCAGGCCCAACTATCGGCCAACTAAAAATCGGTGGTCTGCGCCTAGTCTAAAGGCGACGACACGACAAGTTACGACATCCTATGTTTGTAACAGGCGTTATTTTGCAACAAAACATGTATAGGCAATCGTATAAGGTCCGGTGGCCGAGCAGTGCGACGGGCGGCCGCAGTGAGTGTGCGAGTGTGACACTAATACAATTACGGGCGAGCGATAAAGATGGGTAGCTTGGGGTCATTGTACGAAATTCTATCTGCTCGACCGGACTTTAGATTGAGAACGCACTATATCGTCGAAGACATTAGCGAAACTCTGTTTACATAGTTTCGGATCTATCTGTCGTCGCGCACATCTCTTTGGATAACGTTTTTTAGAGTAACCCTGCAGGTGTCAAGGCATAGTTACTAAATTAAAGTAAAGTAAAAGCAATTAAGTTTTTAATTTAGCAAAAATCCGTACTCCGAATTAGTATTAGTTGAAGCCACGATAGCCGAACGGTGAAGGGGTCGGCTGGCCGACTCGTGATCCGGGGAACGCGGGTTTGGTCCCTGCCGCCGCTCGACTATTGTGGTGAGCTCACTCGTGATACAAGCATATTTAGCTTAGTACGAGGAGCCAACGGGAGTATTAGTAATTTGTGTAAAAAATAAAGTAACTAATAATCTTTATAAAAAAAAAGTTAAGATTATGTTAAAAGTAAGAATCTAACTTATCTTTTCTTCCAGCAACCCAACCCGTTCTCGCATCCTCGGCGTGCACTTCGAGCTGGCCAAGGCGGGTCAGCTGCGCTACCTCAACCTCAACACCACCTTCAACTCCAGCATCCAGCTCAACTACCGCCAGACCGAGCTCGCCTTCTGGACCGTGTACCTGCCCACTGTCATCGGCAGGCTGGTGCCTACCTACCCGCCCATCACTGAGGTAAGAGCTATTGCCCGTTGTCCTAGGTGACCGACGCCGGGACGTGAGATGAAGCAACGCGACGCCATGCAACGTAAGTGTAGGAGCACACTGGGCGCGCTTGCGCGCTTGGCGACTTAGACGCGAAGACACAGGCTGCGGCCACAGAATAATAATAAGTACTACGTACAGAAGTTTTACTTCGCGAAGGTATTTAAAAAAATGTATGCTCAATGTCATTAACAATATGGTGTAATTTAGCCTGTCTCAAGAGTCAAGCACCATTTTGTTGACAAACGTCAGTGATCGGCACTGCGCCGAAGCTATAGGGCTGACTTAATTCGGTAAAATGATTGCGACGTGAGGTGCCAAACTGCGGAAAATGGCGGAGGAAATACATGATTTAGCATGAATTATCATGAATAATATTAACTACTCCTTTACCTCTCAGTGTCTTGAGGCAACTTAAAAAAGTACATTCTGTGTTTTTATTATTATTTAGGCAGTTAAATACTGCACAGTATTTAGTACACCATTTTCTTTATTTTCTACCATCATACACAAGAATACGCGTGCGTGAGTCAATGTTCGCTCGTATGTGAGGCCTTGTCGAATAGTATCCTGTAGGTGGGCCATCGTGCGTGTTTTGTTTTCGATGTAAACTCGCGGAGATGAACAGGCCTGCTGCGGCTAACAATTTCATACATTCTGTTCAAAGATTCGCACACTTCGCGTCAGAGTCGCGACGACAAGCTAACAATGAAATTGTCTAGAATAGGCGTCTAGTCGCCGAGCTGTCGCCTGTCGCTTAGTGTGCGCCTACATTAATACGATCAATAATTCAGGCGCCGTGTGTCCTACGCGACTACTTAGGCCACTATTATACTATTACACCGACTGCTTAATAATTTCGCGGTGCGTTACCGCGTTTGTCTAATAATTCTGTCCAATTTGTTGAACAACACGAGAACTTTGACGCTAGATGGCGCTGTGTAAAATTGTCCAAAGATAATATTTAAAAAACAATATCTAAACTGTGGATTGTTTGCCAACAGTTCTGGTGGGAGCCAAAGCAACCGCTGCAGATAGCATTCTGGTCGGTGTCGAGTTTCTGCCTCATCCTCATCGTACTTCTAGTCGTTTGCTGTATGCTGTGGAGAAACGCCAAAAGGTAGGTACATGGTCTCTCTCTATTGATTTGTCATTTTTGAGAAATAATAATTAAATAGTTTTGACTAACCCTCGCGCGCACTGGTGAAACATCTATGGAGGTGACCAAAAAGTTTCTTCTCCACGGACTTGGTATGAGTGACGAAACAGTTACGGCGACAAAAGTCACCCGTACGCGCAAACCCTAACTGCATAATATGTCTTCATTTCTGAAATACTAAACCGTCTTACATCACGTCACTCACATGCCAGTGAATACTTAATTTCTCACTTGTGTTCTTATGACAAGTCATTAAGGTTCACTTTTCAACTAACTGTATTATTTTACTAACATGTGGTATTCTACATTAACTCGTATCTTTAACAGGGCTGCGCCTCCGAAATGGAAAATGGTTCCAGCTGCGTAGGTGACATTAACAAATATTAACACTTCCGCTTGCATTAACCACCAATGAGGGTTTTCGCGAATGAAAAATCCGCCAGATGGCAATACGTAGACGCGAGGTCCAAATGCTGCATGATTGGTTATTTTTGACATGCCATTGACAGATATGTCAAAATCCACCAATCACGCAGCAGTCCGACCCCACATCCACGTCCCGCCATCTAGCGGATCTTTAATTCGCGAAAACCCTCATGAATATTACATTACAGCTTTTGTGTCGTTTATGTATTGTATATGCCGTATATTATCGCTTTCTTTGCATACGTGGGTGAAAACTGTAGTGTAGTTGCTTCATTGTAGATTTTGTGCTCGTGAATAGGGCTTGCAAGTCCCGGTACTAAGGAGTGTTACTGAATTACCGGTACCAGGTCTAAGCCAGTACCGGGAAAACCGGGAAATTCGGGAATTTCGGTACCCACGTGAATGGTTATTAAAACAAATTAATTAATTTCTACGTAATTTTAATAAAAATGTCAATAGGTTAACAAAAATATTAAACTTTTTCTGTTCAGTTCAATTGGTCTGTTACCTTAATAATAAATCAGTCAAAACAGTTACACAACACGACAAAACTAGTTATAAATGCCCATTTAAAAATCATAACCGCCATATTCATAAAAAGCAACAATCGTTTAATCAACCTATTTTAGTTAAAATATTATTATGTTTTCTCACTTTCTATCAATGTCAAATACTGGCAGCGACAAGAGTTAGGGACAAAACATAAATTAACTAAATTAGGTTTATAAAAAAAACACGCTTTTATAAGAAATAATAAGTAGTAGGTACTTAGTACAATCAGATAAATGAATTAGGGACATTATTAATATTATTTCATTTGTTGATAATGTGTACGTAAAAAGATGATGGCATGTAGTCAAAAAATTTTTGAATTTTTATTATTCAAAAATAAATTATTGAAGTCCCGAAAGTACCGAAAGTCTCGGGAATTGCATCGTCAGTACCGGAACTAGATAAAGGATTAGATTATCGGGAATTCCCGGGAAAAATGAGTACCGGGATTTCTCGAGAGCAAACCCTACTCGTGAATATATGTTTATGTTAACGTGATTTTAAGTCGCTATTATCAGTCAGTAGTTAGTGAAATAGTTTTATTTTATCTTAAATAATCTCCATAATATCAGTCTATGACTAAGGTCCGTTTCCACTGAGCCGGACTGGAGAAAAAAGCGTTTTGGAAAACCGGCTTAAAGCTGCGAATCCACTAGTTATAGTCTATCCAATATAGCTTGATTAGAATGACAGCTGCCATCAAAAGTAACGACATAACTTTGTAGTAGCGATCAATGAGAGCTAAATATTGGCGTACAAGAAATAATTCACGTCTGACCTACAAACAATATTTTCAACGACAGTGCTTCCAATAAAAATGATAATTTCGTGTAAATGCAGCGTTAAATTACACCAATAAGTAGTAATTCGAAATTATGAAAATGAAGCTAGAGTATTAACGACGTCTCTACAAGGTTATCTCGAGTTACAAAAATGTTAGTGTTGGGACATATCGACAAATTTCATATTAAATTTAAACTGTTTTTTTAACATATTTAACAAATATTTTTTCTAACTCATTTTTCAACATATTTAAGTCAAGTTGTACGTTTTTCTAAATGTTCACTATTAAAAACCAAAAAACATTTCATTCTTAGATAATCAAACATCGGAAATCAATCACCGGTAATTTTATGGGTATTCATAGCACCGTTGCTCTAGAAGAGATGCCCACCGCCCTCTAGCGAGAGGAAAAAAACACTGAAGAACACTGATGATAATGACTACGACTTAGGTTGTACACCCTTGACATGAATTTTAAATTTTACTGTCTTTAAATTTAAATCATAATTGTAATTTTTATGAATAAAGATATGAAGAAAAATTGGGTGCATTTTTTTATATCATTTTTTCGAAACACTTATCGATACATCTATGTGAACCGTACGAAACATACCCATCACTAGTCACATTCGTTTGACAGCCGTCATTCTAATCAAGCTATATTGGATAGACTATAGCATCTCATTGTTGCCTAGTATATTTTAGACTTCTTGAATCGCATATTGGCAAATAGCAACAAAACAAATAAAGTACGAAATCATAACATTAAATTACTGCCTTTGTATCACAGGGAAACGGATCGATACTACAGCGACGACATATTTATGGTGCCCGAGAGTGAAAATGTCGGAATCGAGAACAACTCGCGTTCCCGAGACAACATCTACGAGTATCGGGATGTGCCTGTGAAGCGCCCGCCCACTCCGCAAACTATAAGCAGAGCGGTAAGTGTGCTCGTAATTAAATCGATACTGCAGCGACAATCGATGGTATATGAGAGTAAAATTAACACCTTTGCAATTTTGCTTGTTTAGCCAGAATCTACAATTTAACCCAACTAGTGGTACAGAAACTCTCGTTCGAACTTTCGGCAACAATAAGTTTTCCTACTCTATCCTGTCTAATCTACGAACACCGAGATGATCATCGACACCGTAGTATGCCTTGGTTAAGTTTACGACATCATAATGGTAGCAGGAAAGCGCTGGACACAGGCCGCTACCAACCGATCAAAGTGGAAATCATTGCGGGAGGCCTATGTTCAGCCGTGGATATCCTATGGCTAAAATGATGATGATGATAGAAAGTTAAGTTTTAATTTTCCGTCTCCCTTCAATCCTGAAATGGATCAGAACAATTATTTTGGATGGTAAATGTATGGACTTATCACGTTAAATCGATAAAATCGCGCGGTTGCATCGTTTCGCGGCGCGCATTCTAGACCCACAGTCCTCTTGTGGATAACGGTGTTGGTTGTATAATTACTTAAATGTTTATATAAGGTTTTAATTGTAATTCTTATTGTACAACTGTTTGTTTTCCTTAATAAAATAAAATAAAGAACAGAAACGGTTTTGAAAAGCATTTTTTTTTTGTCAGCTATAAGTCTATGTAAGTAAGGTAATCAAATCATGTTATTATTTCAGGCGAGCCAGGCCCAAACGCTGCAATCGCGGCCGGATTCCCAAGCCTCCACGGGCTCGGCGCTGTCGCTGAAGGAAAGCGTGGTGTCCCGCGCGCCGGAGCCTCTGCCCAGGGCGCGATCCCGCACGCAAATGGTCGCAGGCGTCCCGCAAACCACTGTATGAATACTGCATGGGTCTTACTAACATTTCGGAGTATACAATGAGGGCTATCGTTTTTATACTTAACAGTTGGCACCCCTGGCGATTGACAGGACCTTACTCTACAGTGGCGCCATCTTGATGAGTGTAAATGCAATAGTCCTCCTACCACTTTAGCACTCACCAGATGGTGCCACTGTCTTCGCTACTAGCAAGTGACAGGACCTTACTCTACAGTGGCGCTAACTGGTGAGCGCTAAAACAATAGCCCTCATTAGATAAGTATTTCAACAGGCCTAGGATGCGCGCCACGCTAAACTTTAAAACGGCATTTACAGTTGTTGCAAATCACGAAGGCGTGTGAGCTTTACATGTGTGGTGGCCTGCTACTGTTCGTTTTTTCAAGTTTTGATAGACATAAGGCTGGTTTTAGTGTCACGCGGACTGTCAGTGCGGATCGCTCCGCTCGCTGGATTTTTTTACTATTTTTTACATTAATATTACCACTTCTTTGCCAAAATAATAATATAGTTTTCATTGCAAAACAAAGGAACGAAAATCTCAGGTGCGAAAGGGGTAAGGCTGGTTTTAGTGTCACGCGGACCGCTCCGCACGGCCGATCTGTATGAACTGCTAGGGAGCGAGCGGTTCCTCCGGACCGCATTACTCTAAAACGCTCCCTAGAAGTTCATACAGATTGGCCGTGCGGAGCGGTCCGCGTGACACTAAAAAAAGCCTTACACATTAAAGTTATGTGCATGTACACGTACACACACAAGTAAAGCTCACTCGCCTTCGAGAGTTGCAAGAACTATTAATTGATTTTGCATTAGCCTTTGTCGTCTAAAATCGTCGATAAGATTTATCATGGTGCGCATCATAGCCTGGCTGGATAAAAAAATGTATCACGGCTCGGGTAGGTTCTAGTTTTTATTGGCCAACCAATGCAGGTTGGCCAATAAAAACTAGAAGTTGTGAGTAACCAGTGCGTGTAATAAAAATAAACTTTTTTCGGGCATCATAAACAATGCATGGAACACGGAATCTTCCTTTATGAATCGGTTTTGATAATGTCATCACATCACTAATTTTATAAACACATCACTAAACAAGTTATCTTCACGAGAAGAAACGATTTCCCGTTTTGTTAATCAACTTCAGATAGATTTTTTTGGAATTTACTTTGGGTGTGAGCAATCAGTGACTACAATATAATGACAACAAAATGTATTAAATATAATACTTTGACACTATTCAGTTATTAAATCCACCACCGCTTAGTATTAAGTATAAAATAATATGGCAATTACTTTTATAGCTTTTAAACTTTATTATTTTTTAATTTATAAAATATGAATTCTTCAATTTATGGCATCTTTTTATATTTATAGGTATTGTGACAGCTATTTTACAGGTGGCCATTAACATTTTTACATTTTAGACTGATTTTAATTTAGACATTTATAATTCTATTCTACACTACTTATTTTTTGTTTCTATTTACCTTACTTACCCTAATTTACATTCCTTTTTTAAATAAATATAAATAATAATATTAAAACTTATCTTTACAAGTATCACTATGTTCATTCCAACTAATTTTAAATATTAGTTGTTAGATCTCAATGGAATGAAAAAACGTTTACGCGTTTGTGGAGAAATAATTATACTTTTGTTTTTCATTGATACTAAAATATGTTACAAAAAACGTATAGTCCCGTACTAAGTACGGGATTTTATAAGAAGTGTATTTTGTTACTTTTATAGCGTTATTGCTTTGAACAAGTTACCTCTAAGGTATCGACATTGTGTAATATTTAGATATTAGTCATAAATAAATCGTGTACAGTTTATAGGAGAATATTTGCATGGACACACGACAGCACAACAGTTGTAATATTATTATGTTGTCCTAAAATCGCCCTTATTTCTTACAAAATAAGAGCAACAGTTGTAATGCACCTGTAACGCTTGATGTGCCGTCCAGTGTTATTAATAAAATATTTTTAAGAAGCACAGTCAAGACTGGATTTATGCATGTTTTAAATGCATGAATATACATAATGAAGGCAGCTTTTATTTTTTGCATGTTAAATACGTAAGATAAACTTTGAATGCAATTCCTAAACATGTGAATATTATCTCCGTCTTAGTTAAGTATCTATAAGTTTACTTGAATGTTTGTGATTGTCTGTCCGTCCATTTTCAGTGCAATTTGTGTGTATTCGTGAAACGTGCCTTGATGTAAGATTTATATGGAAAATAACTATTTATTGTGAAAAGTATTGTGACGAACGGAACGAAAACTGCCTTAAGTTTATCTAAATAAAATTATTTTTTACACAGAAGAGTAATTTTATTTCTTTATTCCATAAAATATACATAATATCACAGAATGTAATCACTAGCATTATATCACAATAAAATAATAAATTAAAAATATACCCTCCCAAAAACTCAACTTTTCGTGGTGATTATTCACGAAGGGCTGAGTTGTTCTACTTACTAAAAGCACGAAGGCAACAAATTAATAATAATTGCAAGGGGTTACCTAAGTAGGGAAGTTGAAGAAGTTGGAAGTTTGCATGGAGATCATTCATGTCTCTAGTAAAGAATACACAAAAAAAAACATTTTATTGCAAGAATGAAAGTCCGCGCGCATGATAAAGACTGTACTAATGTACTACAGACAAAAATGGCAGCAAAGCAAAAGGCTAGTCTGTAGCGGAGGGGGGTGCAGTCACACAAGTCGATCAGTTTTTATAATGGTAGTCTTTGGACAGTTTGCTGGCTGTATAGGGGGAGGGGGGCGCGGCAGTCACACACGAGTCAATATCTACAGCGGCAGACTGGGCAGTCCACTGGCAGTGTACGGAAGGTGTAGTCGCAAACAAGTCATCAGCAGCAGAATCGAGGCAGTTTGTAGTCAATATAATAACTCGCTTTGTAATCTCACCTCGGGCAGCTTGACAGCGGTGTAGAGCAGGGTGCCAACAATCTTTTGTGAAGTTTAGGGAGGGGGAAATCCAGCCAGCTTCGCTTCAGTAGGAAGTGAGGTAGCCACACGCTTTACAATAAGATCTTACAGGGACACTCCTTAGGCAGTATGTGGTCGAAGGGTGAAATCACACAAGTTGATCAGTTAACACATGCTGCTGTGAATTGGGGCAGTTTGTAGACACTAAAATCAGCTCTGCACTTGCTATAGTCTTCGCGCTGTTTGTAGTCTATCGGGCAGGGTGACAGCAATGTTTAATGTAGTTTAGCTAGGGGGAAGTCTGGGCAGCTTCGATCACAGCCGTATGGGGTGAGTCAGTCACGCACAATACTATCAGATCTTACAGCAGTAGACCACAGGCACTTTGTAGTTTCTGGTCACTAGTCTGTCTGTCTCTCTCTCTCTCTCTCTCTCTCTCTCTCTGTATTGTAGTATCAGTTCTCGCAGCGGCAGACGTCGGGCAGCTGGTGCGCGGTGTAGGGCGGCGCGCAGGCGGGCCCGCACACGCGCGCCGCCTCGTGCCCGCCGCGGGGCAGCAGCCGCCCCGGCGCCTCCACCAGCTCCACTACGTAGTTGGCGCGGAGCAGACCGGCTGGTCGTTCTCATAGCGAGATACTTCGGGCGGTTTGCTCAGAGTATAAGAGGGAAGACACAGTACAACTAGATCTGACAGGAACACTCCTCAGGCACTTGTTTCTATCAGTTTTCACAGCGTCAGACTTCTAGCAGCTTAGCAGCGGTGTAGAGCAGGGTGCCAGTAATCTTGTATAGTGATAGGGAGGGAGGAAGTCCTAGTAGCTTTGCAGCGGTATGGAGTGAGTCACATACAATACTATCAGATTTTACAGGAGTAGACCACAGGCACTGTAGTCTCTATCAGATCTCTTTGACAGTGGCAGACCTCGGGCAGCTTGATGAAATCACACAAGTTGAGCAGTTTACACAGCAGCAGCATTAGAGCAGTTTGTAGTCACTAGAATAAGCTCGGCAGTTGCTACAGTCTTCGGGCTGTTTGTAGTCTCTATTGGGCAGCTTGACAGCGGTATAGGGCAAGGGTAACAGCAATTTTTGAAGAAGAGGAAGTCCAGGTAGCTTTCCAGCAGTAGGAAGTGAGCTAGCCAAACTCAATACAGTAGGTTCTTATAGCGACACACCTTGGGCTCTTTGTAGCCTCTACCGGGCAGGGTGACAGCAATCTTTAGTGAAGTTTTGGGAGGGGGGAAATCCAGCCAGCTTCGCTGCAGTAGGAAGTGAGCTAGCCACACTCATTACAATAGGATCTTACAGGGACACTCATTGGGCACTTTGGTAGTCTATCAGTTCTCGCAGCGGCATACCTCGGGCAGCTTGGCAGCGGTGTAAAATAGGGAGTCAATAATCTTTATTGTAACATTAGGGAGCTCGGAAATCTGGGCAGCTTATCAGGTATGAGGTGGGTTAGTCACACACAATCAGTTCTGAGTCTCATAATAGCTATTAGCTAACCTCAGGGACTTGTTTCTATCAGTTCTCACAGCGGGAGACCTTGAGTAGCTTGGCAGCAGTGTATGGTAGGGTGACAGCAATCTTTTGTAATATTATTAAGGAGGGCGAAAGTAAGGGCAGCTTCGCAGCGATAGACTTCAAGCAGTTTGCTCAGAGTAGAGGAGGGGGAAGTCACACTCAATACAATTCAGATCTTTCAGGGGCACTCGTCGGACACTTTATAAGTAGTCTCTCAGTCTCACAACGGCTAACCTCGGCAGATTGTTTTCTCTATTAGTTCTCGCAGCGGCTACGGCAGCAGCGTAATTATATTACTGTCGCGACTGTGCGACGGGCGCACGCAGTGAGTGTGCGAGCGCGACAGCAACATAATTACGCGCGAGCGATAAGAATGGGTAGCTTGGGGTCATTGGACAAAATTCTACGTGCTCCCGGACCAGACTATAGTCTCTCTCTCTCTCTCTTTGTATTGTAGTATCAGTTCTCGCAGCGGCAGACGTCGGGCAGCTGGTGCGCGGTGTAGGGCGGCGCGCAGGCGGGCCCGCACACGCGCGCCGCCTCGTGCCCGCCGCGGGGCAGCAGCCGCCCCGGCGCCTCCATCAGGTCCACTACGTAGTTGGCGCGGAGAAGACCGGCTGGGTAGTTCTC